GGACATATGTAGTAAGTTCGACGAATATGTAGCTAGATGTACTAGCCCCTATCTGTACTGGAAGTTGTCAATTTTCGCCACCCCTCCACCTCCTGGGGTAACACAATGGTTCCAATGTTTTAGATTCCAGTAGTGATTTCAGCTTTTTCATAAAAGATTTTTTTCCAAACTATAACTTAGAAGAGAGCCAAATTTTAGGTCATCCTACTCTTCAGTCTTTGATGAAAGTGATTCCAGCAATACCTGAAGAAATTTTCGTACAGCAACGCACAAGCATCCGATTTATGGGAAGTTTTTGACGATGTTGTGAAGGATATCGAAGGTCCCGACGGTAGTCCTATGAAGATCACTGAATTTGCCTATCAGTGGACGACTCAGGTGTGTACTTCTATTACCCATGATGCAAGTAAGTTCTAGTCATTATCTATGCAAAATTTGAGAACTATGATATACCGGCTAGTGTTGCAGATGGGCTACCCAATGGTCACTGTGGAAGCGTTCAATGCAACTTCTTTGAAAGTAACACAAATTCGGTACAAGGCGAATAAGGATGCTCAAGAGCAGGAAAAGTACCGTCATCCGAAATATGGGTCAATATCAATCCTGCATCTTTTTCTTCGCATCTCACGTGAATTGCGACAAGAGCTAGTCGTAACTGCAAGCTTTTTTTTACTTCTGCAACAATTTCAGTAATTTGTAGGTTCAAGTGGGATGTTCCTTTGTGGTATCAGGACGGCTACAATAAGGAAATCAAACGGACTTGGCTAACCAGAGGTATGTAGATGGTCCAGAACGGGGCTCCCGAGGGTATTACAAACCGCATAAAAAATTTCGCAGCGCATCAAGAACGAAATCGAATAAGTGGAGTTAACACTAGAACTGATACATATGATATAGACACTTTAAATTAGCTAAGATGATGACAATTCTAACATTTAGAGCCTGCGCGAATATGGACACTGAGAATAACGAACTTCTAGTCCCGACATCAACCTTAACGTTACCAGCACATAACATTTCTTCAAAAATGTACTATGTGGCACGCAATGGAACTTAGAGACGAACGGCTTCGTGGTTCACAAAAAAGCTGAATCATGAAAATATCGTTGTCCCTCACCTATAACATTCTCATTCGCATCAGCCATAGTGCGGAACTTGTTCACCACTATGGCTGATGCGGGCGACTACATCACTATAGGATATAAATATGTTGACTCACTAAGACTTTGCCCGTTGTTTCGTGGACTAAAATGGTCGCAGTTCAGTCGCAAGGAGGGCAAGGAGGGAACAGATTCGAACAATTTTTTGGAGCCCTTATCGGACACTACATTGAAACCTATATCCCGCAACCGATGTTCCCTAGACTGGATTGCGTTGGAAGCAGTTCCCCACTGTTCCTACAACTTGTGCTACGGATATCGCGGGCACCCTATCCAAAAAAGACCCTATGGTATTTTGTGAGCTTTTATCACTTGCTGCCACCCACCAGTGGCGTTCACACTCATCCATTTTTTAACCACATTCCACAGTTGCTATGAAGCGAGCTATGATTCTGGTGGCCCTCCCTTATAGAGTCCCTTGTCAGCCCCACTACTACCAAATTGAACTCTCAACGGCTTATTCGAAGGAAGTTAGGAACTTTCGGTCGAACACACATACGAACCTACACGCACACACACACCAACAGACAAACTTAGTGGGTTATATATAGTAGGATTGCGCAATTTAGCAATTTTTTCATCAAGTCGGGGACCATCCGTTCTCCATGATTTACAATGCACCAATCTGCTGCAAGCAGTCACACCTTCGCAGGATCTTTGCAAACACACTCTTACCGAAGAATTTTCTTTCAGTACATTGAAAAGAACATGCCGTAAGAACGGGACGCATGGAATAATCTAGGTATTCAACTGAAAAATAGAACTGAGTGTAAGGGGGGAAAACGAGACACTAAGGCAAAAATACTAAAACGAAGTGTTTCCATGCCAAGGCTGAAACGAAACGTTTTCAAACAACACTTTACCGGTCATGAATAGTGAAGAGGCGGCTCTAAGTGACTGTTATAGTGAGCCGGGCCAGGGGATGTCCTGGCGCGGTGAAAATTTCGGAAGAGAATGAACACTTCCTGAATATTCCTCTTTCTGAGACATCCTTCTGCGAGCTACCTGAACTCTGCAAAACTTTGACGTCGAAGGGGGTGGGGAGACACACCGCATCGAAATCCAGATTAGTAGTTCTTCTGCGTCGCCCGCTGAAGGACTGAAGCGGTGGGTGTTTGTAAATATATTCGAACCAATCATTATTTGGAAGTAATGAAGCGATACACTAAAAAAAACTGGCTGTTTTTACGCACAATGGTACTCAAATGGCTAAAACCTTCGTATGGTAGCCACATTCCTCCATAGCAAAACTGGAACCTGTGGCAAAAGCAGCTGCTTTGGTACGTAGGACCATCTTGAACCGCTCCTCCTCTGCACCCAGAATAGACTAATGAAATTTCTCATTGAGGTACGAAAAGCATTTAACGGTGTCTAAATATTTGACCTCTGTTGCAGAAGAACCGCTTTATTTGCACGTTAACAATGATGACGAATCTGTTGTCGTGAACGCTGATCGATACGGATTCTATCGGCAAAATTACGACGTCAATGGTTGGCGGAAAATTATTAGGCAGTTTAAAGAGAATCATGAGGTACTTGTTTGCATTGTGTCTGTATCTTGTGAATTTCTGATTATCTTGTTCACAATATAACATTATGAATATGGTTTATCAAGCTGTCATCATTCACTTTTTATTACATCCTATCGACATTTTATTTGACTTATTACTACACTTGTGGCGCCATTTCTTATAGCACCGCTGAATTTTTACTGAGGAATCCTTATTCTCACAACAACATGACCGCGTAGTCCTCATGAGTGATTCTACCTAGCGAAAGGTGGAAGGGTTTAAGGAGAATCTTTTACGAGAGGCACCGACTGTGTGGCAATATGGGTACTCCTAGGAGGTCCTCACAGTTGCCGGTGGAGGTAGCAGTATGTTAGATAACCGCACAGTTCACTGCCTGTTTGAAGTGTAACTTAAGACGGCGCGTGCGCCCAAATTCACTTAGAGACTCAACCATTCAAAATCTTCCTATATGTATATTTTCGGTACACATCGGATAAGTTGTTTTCCACCTCATCTTTTTACAGTATCAGCTCTGAGTGCTTTATGCCATTTCTGTTTTGGATGAGCAGTGTGTGAACACTGAGCTTCCTTACCCTATCAGGAGCAGTCATTTGTTCAGGTGTACAGTTCAAGAACCAGATCCGGAATCATAAGCGATGCGTTCGCTGCGGCAATGGTTGACGATCTCGAGTATGAAACTGTATTCGATCTTCTTGAATACGCCAAGAAAGAAGAGGTTTACATTTGATCTCAGGTATATGCTATCATACGATGGTTCTTCCATATATCAAAGCTTTCATAGGAATACCTGCCTTGGGAAGAAATAATGTCTGGATTTGACACAATTCTTGAATATTTTGGTAATGAACCAGAGTCAAAGTCGGCTAAAGTGAGTATTACAAGCTATCTTATAAGGGCACTTCATCGGAAAGTAAAGCATCATGCGTAAAAAAGTTCAGGATTACATGAAAAATATAATGAAGCCGATGTACAACAAGAGCAGCATTCAATATATCAGCGATACCTACAAGAACGATTCCCTGTTCTTCGAAAAGTGAGTGCTGCTTGATTGAACACATGAGGCACGATAATTCGGTAGTCTGTCCGAAATGGTAGGGAAGGTGCTATATAGTGAGATAATGATTGCAAAGCCAAGTGAAATTGTAGAGAATCTGTGAGAAAGTCTTCGATTACGCGACTCAAAAAGCAATTTCGTACGATTCTTCCGCTGGCATCGTGCCAGTAACCGCTACGGTAGATACGGCTGCATGTATGTACTCATATATCCATGCAGCACCGCAGCCGCTTCATATCAATCCCTTCGCTTCATATTGTACTCCGCAAATGAAGCGAGACCAGCACCGTTTTGTGGACTTATCTTGCCATTTGTCTCTAATCTATCATTCTTTGCGATTGTCTTCTCAAATTGAATGGACAATCATGAGAAGAAACATGGAGAAAGGAATACAGTTTGTCACTTTTGATTTTAGAAGAAATCACCATGTTTTGTTAGCCACACGGGCTCTTTCGTGAGCTCTGGTTGTCATCCGATTTCAGTTTCTGCAAGGATCACGAAAATATTAGGTTATCGGGAAAGTTCTGTCACTCTCTGTCAACTCAAATTACTTGCCCATTACCAAGAGTAACCGGTAATGTAAGCTCTTATACAACAAGGAGTGGTCTCTCTGTTAGTACCACTCGCTTGCCTCTTGCTCCTTCTTCTGCAATATGCACAAGGATTTTATCCGCTACCATCAGCCCCGACCCATCCAACAACTTCCACAAACTATTTCACCCACCACCCTGACGCCAGCGTGTTAGCTGCAGATGCCAAATTGATGGAGCTGAATAAGCACGATGCCCCCAATCATCGAGCAACCTTACCACGACAGTGACGCTTCAAGGCGGGAGCCTAGGGAGCCTACAGTTTTGATGACGAAGTGAGGTTTGGGTTACCTGCAAACTCAGCTTGAGGGAGCTATGGGTCGGGAAACTGCTGGATGAAGAAGCTGCTTCCTTGGTCAAGGCGTACGCAAAGCAGCTACGAGATCTAAGGCGTATCGTGGATCAGAGGGAAAAATTTGTCCGCACAGCCGGCCCTCACCAAGATAGTGCAACGCACTTGGTCCAAAAAAGTTCGAGCCGTACCTCATGCAATGGAGCTTGATCTCTCTCCCCTTGCACTTGTGTAGCACAGACATCGCCCCTTCTAATAGCAAGTTGCCTTCCGTAATCGATCGTTATGCGGACGAGAAAACCTCCATAACCCAAGTTCAAGTCGAAGTTGAGATGGTGTCCAACTTTGCGTCGTGTCTCCCTGCATAGTGAAGCGATGGCATCCATGAGGTGCTCAAACAGTGGCAAGGACCCCGCAGTAACATTGCTGTACAATTTTGATCTTACACTCCTCTCTATAAAAAGAAAGCCTAGTTTGAAAAAATGTGACAGAACTTTCCCGCCAACCTAATAGAACATGTTACATGTTATAGTATCACCGTTTTGAACAGAGAGACGACGTATATTTCCAGCAATCTTCAAAAAGCTATTATTGGAGAGTTCTGTCGTCTCGGATCAAAAGAATGTATTGCAACGTATAAAAATATTTTCGACGAAGAAGTCATGAAGAAATGTAAGGATCGTCAAGCAGCAAGCGAATGCGTGAGGTACTATTTCCTTTCGTAGGTTATAGTTGAGCAGTTTTCTCAAACTTGTCAGCGTCGGTGCTTAGAATCAGAAGCAAAGACAGATGAGCGAGAAATTGTGAGAGAAACGGAAAGGAAGCGGTAAAATGACAAACATGTGTCAGTTGTGTATAGTAAGATTCCAAGCACGTTAACACATTGACGACGGCGTGATACGCATCTAGTGCGCGTTTTGTGGGCCACGTGGGACCGCGCAACCAACAAATCCATATCTTTCACTAGTGCATGATTTTTTGTTTAGTTTCTCCTATTCATTCTATAGGCCAGTCCTTAGTATACTCGTACAACACGTGGTCCATGGAATAATTTAGTACACACTAGTTTAGCAAAGATTTCCTGTGGAAAGAGCACTATAAGCTTGAATTGGTTTGCTCCTCAACTTTGGATTGGTTTGCTGTTTAACTCTTTGCCAACAAATACAGACAATTACAACATTGATAATTATCCTACTATATATAATCCGCTAGGTTTGTCTGTTGGTGTGTTTGTGTGAATGTCTGTGTGTGTGTTTGACCGGAAATTCATAACTTTCTTCAAAATAGCGATAAAGCGCTCAAACTTATAAGTGATGTAGGGGGTCGGGCAGGAACATTATTGGTGGGTGGCAGGAAGTGATAACAGTTGATAAGATACCATAAGGGGCCTTATAAAGGCAAAGTCAGCAAATTCATAACGCGCGTCACAGCAAAGCTAGAGCGTTGGCTCCAAGAAGTAAGATAGGGGGCAGGATGGAAAACTGGTGGGTGGCAGGACGTGATAACAGCTGATAAGATACCATAAAGAGCCTTCAGAAGGGAAGGGTCACCAACTTCGTAGCGCGGGTCATAGCAGCGGCGGAACGTTGGTTCCAAGAAGTAGGACAGGGGGCAGGATGGGAACATTATTGGTGGGTGGCGGGACGTGATAATAGCTGATAAGATACCGTATAGGTTCTTAGAAGGGGATCACCAATTTCAAGACTCGCTTCAGAGAAACTGTAGAACGTTGGTTCCAAAAGTAAGAGGGGGGGACAGGATGGGAACATTGTTGGTGGGTGGCAGGAATTGATAACAGCTGATAACATATCATAAAGCCCTAGAAAGGGACTAAATTCAAGTGCGCTGCAGTAGTACGTTGACTGCAAGCGGTGAAATAGGAGGTAGGATGGGAACGGTGGGTCAGAGAGGAAGCTCCCAAATCTATGGGCAAATACTTAGTGAGCCAAATGTTTCTATTCCTCAGCGATAGTCGAAATTGATTCGACCGCTAAACGCTCGAGTTTCACCCAAAAGTAAAAGCCTAAAGATGTTTTCCAGTGAGGAATGATAAGAACCACCAGCAAACGGATACGTGAAAGCTGCTCAACGGAAGCGCTAGGATATGAGGAGCTTTCACTAAGATCCCGATTACCGAAATTCTTTCAACCGCTAAGCTTTTCTACTTCCAACAAATGTTGGGTGTTTTTATAAATGTGATAAGCACTAGACATTGGCAAATGCTTATCAAAGGTGAAATATGACGAAATGAGCCGCCGTTTAAGAAATGGGAATTAGGCCACGTGTTAGTAGTCCGCACGAAAATCCTGTCAGTGATCAATACCATAGGTTTGAACATGCGCGCAGTACTGCGCG